ATTTCGAAATTTAATCATTTATTATAAACATTTCCACTTTAAGTTAATAATATTAACCATAGGCTATTGCCATGCTATGGGGGGGGATTTATTTACTTAAAATAAATTGTGCGACAAATTACTACTGAAAATATTTTATCGAACGGCAGGGAAACATTTCGTACCTTATTCGGTCTATCCGTCACTGTTACATGAATTACGCTTTTAATTATGATAAATTTGAATTGTGATGAGTAACCAATTATAACCAATAGTAACCAATATTAAATAGCATATACACCAATGAAATAATATCCAATGTAATAGTAACCAATATGAAATAGCATATACACTATCAATTACATTCCTCCTCAGATGTTCTCATTTAAATGTAGAGACTGAAGAATGACTCTATTTATTGAAAAATATTATATTTTCTTCTTTACGTAAGAGCATTAGAACTGTGCCCTATTTTTCAACAAAAATGAAGGAGCTTATAAATAAATATAATTCTTATGAAGAAGTATAATTAAGACCTTAATACATCGAAGGTCCTGAAGCAAAAAGCAGTTTTACAACGTACGTTGAGCTATATCTTGTGTGTAAACGTTGAATAAAATGGCAAATGTATAAAACAACGAACGACTTTTGCAAAGCTTTCCTATCATGGGACATAAAAAATGAGAAATAAACATCAATATTAAATGAAAGGCATATTAAAGTCAGAGTGTGTCTTTCCAGAAAACAAATGCCTTCCACTGAAGAAAGTTTCACTTTTAAAGACTTATTTCACTTCCACTTTTAAAAACTGGTTTTCAAAAGACCAAAAGTTTAGTTCAGACGGGCAGAACGGATTTATTATCTAGATTAGAAGAAGAACGAAAGCATTCTTTCGAGACATATGACCATGGTTCTGTGGCGTTGTAAACAACAGTTGGCTGTAACCAGAAAAAATGGATCAAATTTTCCGGAGTAGAACAAATGGTAAAACAAATACTAACTTCCAGCCAAAGTAATTACATCACGGGGTTTTATTATTGCTACATAAAATTTTATGTCTCGGTAGGACAAAACAAGTGCTTACATGGCAAATTTTATAACTATTTACAGGCCAACAATATTGAATAATATCATCTAGAATACGTGGACACTAAAGAAAGAATGCATACGAAAACGTTAATATCTTTCTGTAGCAGAAAAACTCAGAAGCATAGCATTAAAAGAATATATATAATGCCTCAAAAACTTATTTCGAAATCAGATCTTTCAAAACTATCACTATAAATAATTAGAATGCATTCCAAGTATTCTGTTCCTTATTAATTATAGCCCACCAGCGGCCTAGCGGTAAAGTCGCTGAACACTGGTAGTTCGGTCCGAGGTTCGAATCCCGCGAACGGGTTGGCTGCATGGGTGTTTTCGTGGTTTTCCCCATGTGTAACGTGTATACGAGTCAGTTTCCCTTAGAAAGTCCTCCACGAAGGCATCCCTCCCCTTAGGCAGATAGCCCTAGTGAGCTTTGCCATAATTAAATACACCAACACCTTATTACTTATAATGTAACTCTTATTTTCTCTTTATAGTTATTACAAATAAAAATATTATGGGAGGTGTAATTTTGATATATTCTAAAATTTAATTTATTACTTTTGGATATTATTATTATTTAAATTTTAATAGCATTATATGTTAATTAAAACTGAGTAACTGAAGTTATGCAAAATATTCTCAGAAAGTGATTATGTATTATTTACTGCAATTAAACTCTGGAAGCGTATATGTAATGCGGATTTCTGCGTATGACAAATTACTGGATTTAAATTTTCATCAAAGGATGCAGTTCCATGCATCCTTTGATGATGTAAGTAGTTATTAAGTCAAGTTAGCATTTAAAGATTCGTCTTTCAAGTCTCGAAAAAAGCACATATTATTTTTCATATCTGCTTGTCTAAATCGTTGAAGATCTCTAAAATAGCGCCCTAAGAAAAACATGATGAACAGCAGTTCATCACCACCTGAATGTATTGTACATAGGCTTTTGGTTTTCTTCAGTCGCTCTTCAATAGGGAGAGTTTTAAAGATTTATTGCATAACCCGGACAACCATTTACCTTCTACACCGCGTAACTTTGGATGATATTGGTTCGAATCTTCATGAGAGTTTATTTGATTTTCGTGTCTCCTGATCCCAGATTTTAGGTAGCTTTTCCAAACTAAATTCCATATTAAGGGCAATGTTCAGTTTTGGTATTCTATGAAGTTCTTTTAATTAATTTTGAATTTTAAATTGCTCTTTCTGAAAAATTCATATTGTTAAATAATTCAAAATTTTATACAGCTCAGGTATTAGTCGGCAAAATATCTGTCTTAGAGTTTAAAATTTTATACTGGAGGTACAGAATACTTAAAAACGAAATACATAATTTATTATAAATTTTAGAGACCATTTTAAATTTAAACTGCTTTTAAATTCGGTCCTCGAGAGTTTTCAATACAATATGAAAATCTACTTAAAAACTCGTTAAATCTCTCTTAAAGACAACGCAATTTCATTTCAGAGATCGGAAGGGGTTCAAATATGGAGATCGTTACAAATAATTATAAGCATACATGTGCAATACTTGCCAAATAATTATATATTCTGGAAGCTTTGAAAAGTAATCTTCAATTCTTGAGAAGCACGTTTCCGATATATTTAACCTCTGATCCATTAAGGGTCACTTTCTTCAGAAACTTGAAATCGTGAGGGGACTCCATGAAAAGTTTCTTTTCAAATGTTCGAAAGAGTAAAAGCTACGCGAGACCGTAATTTAAAGTAGATTCCTTCAGCTCCTGAAAGATGAACCACGAGAAGATCAATTCACTTGAAGTGGAATTTTATAAAAGAAATGTCTATATATTCCTAATATTATTTCTAAGTATTAAATTATAGAGAAATGCCACTATATATATATATATATATATATATAAGTAGCAATACATGTATTCTTGGAACTACTGCATGTTTTTCTTTATAAGAGCTCTCATGTGAATTTTCAAAACGGTCAGCCTGGTCATTAATTATTTAAAATTTACTTCAAATATTTCTTTTGAGTCAGCAGAGTTAAAATTTAAATTATAAATCTATTTTTCAACTTATATAAGAAAATATTTAAAACATAAATATATTATGTTTGCATGTATTTTGCTATACCACTTAATCTGCCATCTCTACTTCCAACAAACAACGTGAGACCAAATGTCACCTGCGCTGTTTCTTTAAGAACACAATGGTGGGAAGAGATGAGCGTCGCACTAGAACTTCACAAAAGGTTCGATAAGTATAGTCTCATTGTTCTAACTGTACATTCCCCTCCCAGGTTTGACGAAAAACACCCGTGGGGGAATCCAAGAGTTTCGCCCCTCTTCTCTTACAAACACTATCAGTCGAAAGATTCGCGAGTATTTTAAGAGCCTTCATGCCACACCGACACTAAATCTTGTTCAAAATTCGAATCTGGGCCTAACAGTACTGCACTCTGCATTATTAACCATAATACTGAACAAGGACTTAATAATATCCAAAGCGTTCAACTCCTTGGCCGTCTCATTCTTTAGGTTTTTCATTAACTAAAAGCTTCTGGCCAATAACCTGCAGAAGGAATACATGATAATAAGCGGTCCCCTGAAATAAAATGGAAACTGCAAATCTGCAAGTGTAATCAGTGCCTATTCGATCTCATTACATGCATACAACAGCTGCTATTTTTGCCAAAGCCGGGTGCTCGAGAAACTGAATTTCACATGTATTTACAAAATTATAATAAAATTAAAATCTGCGATTCCGCTAACTACCTTCAAGTGTAGTAATTAGCCACTCGTGTAATGTGCCATCCAAAGGCCAATTGTGTAATGTCATTATAATATTTTTAACATAAATATTTTGAACTTTCATTTATAATATTAATACGTAAGTGACCCACGGTTTTACCGAATTAAAATCTGTCCGCGGATATAGTTTTCTAGGATTGAAAAGCAACTATTTCATGCTTAACTTTAACCAATAAAGTTGATGTAAATATCATATAATTTCCTTGTACAGCCTATTAAATTACGCACAATTATTGCTGCTCTTCATTTTAACTTATTTCATCAAATTTAGTTAGAGATATATTTCTTATTCAATCAATACAGCTTTCACTCCGCAGAAAGGCAACAATCTAGAAACCTCTGCTTTAAAAAATTGTAAATTAAAAAAAAAAAAAATTCAAACACGGAATACAATTGAAAAAAGAATTTTTACAATTCAAAAAATAATTCTCGAACGATCTGCTTTGAAAATTGTAAAATAAAAAAAAAAAAAAAAAAATCAAACACGAAATACAATTAAAAAAAGAATTTTTACAATTAAAAAATAATTCTTATTTGCCTAACATGAGTTTCCGAACAAACACATACATTTTGGTAGCAGGCAAAAAGGACAAAATTTTTGGTGCTCCAAAATTTAGTCAACTTTTGATCTCTTTGGTAAGAAGATACTTAAGTTTATTCATAAACTGAATTAACTATCTTACTAAGCACTTCATTTGTAAACAAATTCCTCCTCATTAAATTTAGTTCCCCTTCTGCTTTTAAATTGTTAATAATTCTGCACCTGTTGCATGCAAATTAACTAAAGGCACAGGACCGAAACATACGAACAGTATGATTCAATCACTTTTAAAGCAAACTATGCGCAATTTACCAACATATAAGAATAAGAAAGGTTCATCGAGCCAGCTAAGGAGTAAGTGTATATATATATATGTGTGTGTGTATGTATAAGATATAAGAAAACACGATAGCTACTTTAAAAATACTTCACGACCTCATAATTAACATTCTAAATTGAGTGATCTCCCCCTGTTCTTCCGGATTCGAGATCTTTCTATGTTACGTAACGTTTTAATGTAATTCTTGTCCAATCAAATTAATTGTAAGCCAAAACTTTCTCTAACTTGATCTGAAATTGTTGACTCCCTCCTTTCTTCCTCTGTGTTGCAGCGTTCTCCTTCGCTTATGCTTTCCTGTTGGCAAGACACTGCTGTTCCACGCTGCTGCTGTTTTGTCAAAGATGACGTCGTACTGTAAAATGGAACTTATTGTATTCAATTATAATAAAGGAATATATTGTCTGCAAAAGAATGATTTGATATGCCTAAAAAATAAAAATTGTGATTTTTCAAGCTCAGTTGTGCTAAATGCGTCATCATGTTTTTCCACGCAATCTTTACCATCAGCCACTACGGTCTTCTCAGCTATGACGCAATATCGAAAGCTATTAAAAGTTCCAGTGCATTTCATCTATGCATTTTAAAACATTACATATACATATGTGTGTATATATATATTTATTTATTAAAGGAATATTGATTATGTTATCTCCTAATATACATTTAGTAAAAGTATCAACAAAGAGGAAAAACTTGTTTTCGAACTAAGTGAATTTTAGATCATTCAACACAAACATATTCCACGCATATATACATTTCACATTTAGCATGATCAGTTGCAATAAAAAAAAAACAGAAATACACAACTAGATGTTATAGTGTGTCATATACAAAATTTCAAAGTTCTACTGAGTTATGTGAGATATTCGCTATTATGCGAGCGAAAAAAAATTCTTCAGGATACGATTTAGGAATAATCATGCAGAACTCTTGAATTATCGCCGGCATTAACGCGGATGAAGAGAGTTATACTGTTATTTTGATCAGATAATTCAACAGCCCAATCCACAAATTCACGAATTCTTTGACACACTTAAGTTTCCCCCTTCACGTAACAAAAATAAAGCCCATTGTTCTTAAAAAAAAAACACGTATTATTTTAAAATAAAGCATACTAAAATAATTAGGTTATTATTTAAAAATTAGAGTGTTATTTAAATTATTTAAAATAACATTTTTACCAGTAAACATCTGTTACAAATACATTATTAATAAAATAAGGTGTGTAAATTAAATATAAACTAATTTAAATTAGAAACATTATTGTGATAGCTTACTTTATAGCAAGTTATCATCTCATGCCTTATCATAATCGAGTATGCAAATAAAGAAAGGTTGTAGGCTTGGAAGGTCTTTTGAAAATACCTTATATTTAAATTATTGCATACTTTTCCAATGATTATTTTTGTATTTATAGTTTATTTGAGCTATTGATATTATTATTAATAACATTATTATTGTTATTATTATTAGTCCAACGGGGCTTTTTATCTGTTTTCGTTTTGCGATTTTGTGTTGAAAATTTTAAAAGGCTGTATAGATTTTTAAATCGTTGCCACCAAATATTATCGCCCTGTATTATATTTGGAGAAATTAAATAATGGAGAATCTGTATAAATGTATGTATGTTTCTCGCATTGTGATAAATCAACGGTACCTAGAGCCATCCAATTTTGAATGACGTAACTCTACTGTGAATATAGGCATCTGAAAGCCCGAATTTGAAATTTGGAATTTGTTTTATGACCGATTTCATATTTTGTAAAACTTTAACGAATTTTTGATTAACAGACTCAACGATTTAAAAGCGAGCAATGGCAAAATTTACAGGGAAAAACACTTTCTATTTCCAGCGCGTTCTAAAGATATGCTCATTTTAAAATTATTTTGTGACATTGCTGTTGAACTAAATTTTATGGTTTAAGTGCGAAGAACATGATATTTAATAAATAAATGTAACACACAATACTTTAAAAAGACGCCCCTTTGGACGTAATTTAAAATCAGAAGCGTATTCTCATATGCATACTAAATTTCTAAAATAAAAATATTATGGTTTCTCTCCGAGATATCGAAGTATATGTCATCAATTATCCTAAATCTAGTATGAAAATAAAAGTTTATTCTCAAGAAAATCACGCAACTGCCCTATTTCTTATGTCTATGTTACCAGTCTTCGAAAATTTTCTGAAAGAAATTTAGAGCTCAAAAGAGATCAAAGAACCTTAGGATTTATTTAAAATTGTCGAATACTTTGAGCTGCTTCGGTTTTGGAATTCTTGCATAAATCCTGCATTTTGTAGTAGTGAGATGCTGACATATATTTCCAGTCTGGTAGCATCCCAACCGTCTTTTCTGTATCCCACCATCAGTGTATGAAATAAATGATCAGCCACAATTTTATTTTATACTACAGTGATTCCGAGGGTATTCTTAAGTCGTTAGTTGCAGATTATTTCAGCGGGTCAGATAAAATGCTAAAATTTAGCTGAAGAGATAATAATCTCAAAATCGAAATATACTGAGAGATACCTTACTTATTCAGATTAACATGTAATGCTGCTGCTTTAAGTACAAAATATTACGGATATGAAATATAAATTTAAATATCGGTAAAAATTACTGGTATGAATTATGCATTTAAATTCCAATAAAAATTAGTTTTTTCTACATTATTTAATTTAATGTTGCAGAAATAAAATTAACATTCAAAATGAGTTTTATATTACTGTATCATTATCGAGACAAATAGTATGATCACACGTTTAAAGAATAAAATTGTGTATTATTATAATTAAACTTAATATGAATGATTTTATATAGAAGTGCGAAATAAAGCAATAAATTTACGAAAAATAAATCATTTTGTAATTCATGTTATTCTTTTAATTTTTTAATGTAGTCCTTCGGGGATTTCTGTATTTATAGTGTTTTTTTCCTTCTGTGTTACATTATTCTGTAGTTACTTCAAAATGTCAGTTCATCTGATATTAAGCAATCAGCACAGTTCTCTTTCAGTGGAGTCTTGACAGTCTGTTCAAGAGACATATATATATATATAAATCAGGTTCAGCTCCAGTCTTCAACACTAATTGACTAGCCATTATTTATAAATCTCTAGTCATTATTTAAATTTTTCCTTCCACTCTAAACATAAGATAGTCTTATTGATACGCATCTTTTACTCGTCCTTTCTCGATTCCTTTTTCTTGACAACCAACAGAATATTTCTAGATCTTCAGCCTTATATTTGCATTAATTATGAACTTCGACTTAGTAAAATGTGTAGTTAACCAAATTCTTTTATTTAAAATTAATATGTTATATATGTCAACACATATTTCAATGGCTGGACTAAAATGACAAGAATAATGAAATGAAATTTGCTGTAATTTATATTCAAAAATCAAAGCATTCAACTAATTTTAATGAATATATCGTAAATTATGTGAAGAACTATGTTAATTTTATTATTTTAATTCATTCATAAAAAAATTACATGTTTTGAAATAATTTTTAAAAACATTACAAACTCTTTTCAGTATGGTTCTTGAGCTTGGTTTGATGTATACAATTTTTAAAATATGTTTCAAATGATGTTGTGTAAAATGTTTAAGTCAGTAAGGCCTTTCAACTTATATTTCTTATGAAATATAAAAAAGGGTATTATCTCAGTATATATACTTTTCTGGTGGATACGCCATTTTTCGATCACTGTTAAAACATAGTACCTTTCGGTTAGAATCGAGCTGCTAATATTTTGCTTTTTAGGCCAATATTTTAAAAACAGGGCTAAAAGCATCATATGATCTAAGCACACTAAATATGCCACGTCCTTTTTGTGACCAATCGGAACCTTTTCAATGGTTTATCGAGTGTCATGAAGCATGTATATTCCACTAGAATATTTGCAATCGGCTAAAGATTTCCACTTTAGTCTTGGAATTGGAATATACATGTTACCTTAACTAAAGCCTTAGTGTATTTGAAAATGATAGTAATACATGAAATACTTATTTTAAAAGCATAACGTCTCATGGGATAAAAGACGGAAATCATACATAGCATTTAAATCTCACAAATTCAGCTGCAGAGCTATTTTAAATTAAACATAACGTTCTGTGCTTTTTGAAAGAATATAATGTACTCTCTATTTTGTACAAGATTCAATAATTATACTTGCTTATAAAAGATAAACCAATGTCGTGATTTTTCAAACTGCATGGGGAAATTTTCTAAAATAAACCCCAATCTAAGTTTGGATTTTCCTTTTTTTAAATGTTGGTTAATTTTTTCATGGCTGTTACCTAAATAATAAAAAATATGGCTTAATTAAGTAATTAAAATTAAGGCAATAATTAAAATTAACAAAATATTTATTTATAATGTGACATGTAAACTTATGGACTTAGCCTTAGTGTCGATTCAACCCACTCTCAGTTCAACCTTAATAGTTTTTTGCTATTTTGTCCTAAGAGAAAAAGATTCGGTGCTTTTTATTTCCTACACTTCAGTGCCGAAAGAGAAATAGCTTCTAATTTCGCTTACATTCAGAGTCTGTGCCTTTGAACCCACTATTGTAAATAAAATGAAATAAAATCAAGCCACATCTGTTATCTCAGCTTTTGCTTCATCCCTTGTACGTGCATGCTATTTTAGTCAATTATTTTTTTGTCTTATATTTATAACAATACTTCTTTTGCACATTTGAGAGTGGCAAATTCACTGCATATTTCGATTGCCATCATAAACTATGACTCGATCTGCCGTCATATTTTACGGCATTTTGGCCTTTTTGAGTTAACCTTTTTAAAAGACGAAACTACTGCAATATTGTGCTACAAACTAATGAATGAAAAAAAAGAAGCACGTTTGAAACATCGCCATAGATATATTGGTGCAAATAATTAATTATGTTCGGGAAATAAATGTTTTTTCCTAAACAAAGATAATGGTAATATAAGCCATGTAATATATGTAAAGCTTTAAATTGATGTTTTTTTAATGTTATTCACGAAAACACTGATTATAGATTGATATATTAGAAAATAATCGAATTTATCGAATTATATGAGCAGAAAAAGAATAAAAATTTACAAGGAATTGAAATCCTCTTTAGAGCTTTCACAAGTAAAACGTTCTCTTAAATAAATGTATTTAACTAAAATAATGTAATTTAAAATGTTTTCTTTGAATACATGTGAATCCGAAAGTGAAGGTGTGTTCAAATCATTATCACGCTTAGATCGTAAGATTTCAAACTGAAAGAAAGTTTATTCCGAAAGATTAAAGTATTAAAATATACGCGCTCTTTAATTTAGTTCTAATTGTGCTGCTTTTTTCCATAACTGTGAATGTACTATATATCCCCGGTAAAATAAAATAATTCTTCGAAGAGATAATTAGCATGCATGCAGAAAAATCATTAAACAAATTTCAATTTCAGTGCTTTTCAGATACTTAAGCTCTTTTGAATGGAGGGTACAAAAGCAAAATTTCATTCATTGTTCAATGTTAATGTATGTATTTTTAATATGCACACACGTTTTGAAATCTTTTGTATAAATTAGTGTTTCTGATTATCATTACAACATAAATTCTTTTTTTTTCTGCAAAATTATATTTTTCATTTTATACGCTTCTTACAATTAAAATATAGTAGTAATGCGAAACTACTATATTTTAATTTAAACTACTATAATGCGAAATATTTAAAATTTGGTTTTTGATAATGTTAATTTTGTATACTTTGTTAAATATTTATTACATTTAGCTCTTTACAAAGAATGGCCAATCATTCTTATTGCAAATTTTTAACTTATTAATTCTGTGTTTATTTTCTACAAATCTAAAACTGTACCCGTTCATTTAATATTTAATTTATATCTTTTTAAAATATTAAATATTTAAATAGTAATATCAGGTCTCGTATCTAAGGAGATTTCTTGTAAAATGCCGTCTAACCGAATATTTCTTAATCTAAACACAGCTTAGTAAAAATAATGCAAAATAGTAGTTTTAAATCAGTTAGCTGAAAAAT